GGCAACAGAACAAGTTCAATAAGTGATTTTCCCACAAGGAAACCTGCCTGGGTACATTGATTCAACATGGGAGGTGGTGTCCTAACACGTCATTCGTGTGTGAGTGCTTTCAAAGCCAGAAAATACAATCACCCTGGCTCTGGTCTCTCCATTCATATGAAGAAGCCAATGTCCCCATGTGAATTCCTGGCTGTTCATTTTCACAGACAGGGTAGCCAGGTGGTACTGGAGCAGCTTGCCATTCTCTGCATCTGTATCGGTTTTCTTGCCTCCTTGGCACTCCCAGAGCTCCTCCCTTCTTCTTGAGCATTCCCTCAATCTTCCACACTCCTCTTTTGCCTCTGAGAACAGCCTTTGTTTACGAACAAGAGGAATCTGCAGCCTCATCAGCTCCAAACCAAACTCCCACCATTCTCTGGGCAAAGCCCTGCTCAGAAAAGCAATAGAAAGTGAGGGCGAGAAGGCTGGAGATAATGGTGTCTAGTGGGACCAGCAGGGTGCACAGGACACCAAGTTCAGAATGAAGCCATGGGCCTGCTGGGGCTGCACTGCCTAATTGGTGCCTGGCTGAGTGACTTGGGTCTGTCTGGACCTGTGACCTTGAAGTGCAAAGGAGCTAGACTAGATGATTCTGGGTCCTTTCCAGCTCTGAACACATCAAGCAAGTCCTAATCATGATGCTAAGCATCTACATATTGAACAAAATTGCCAGGTATGGTTGCACACACCTGTAATTCCAGCAATTCAGGAGCTGAGGCAGGAGGATCACAAATTGGAGGCCTGTCTGAGCAATTTAGCAAAACTCTGTCTGAAAATAAAATAAATAAATAAAAATAAAAAGGACTGGGGGTGTGTCTCAATGGTGAAGCACCACTGAGTTCAATCTCAAGTACCAAAAATAACAACAATAATAATTTTACTGGCACCGGTTTCTGGGGGATGAACTATTAGATTTCTTTTTCCTTCTCCTCTGCATTTTGCAAATAAGGAAGGATGAGATGGATTACACTACCAATGAGTTTGTGTTTTATGTGTTCACAAACACAAAAAGCACATGACTCTAAAACAAAATAAAAACATCTCTTTAAGGGGAGAGATTGAAATAATTTTTAAAGCTAAAAGCAGACAAGAAAGAAAGGTCCAGATGGAGGCCCCAAATCCATCTGGAGCTCAGAAGCTCTGCAGGGCAACATTAGCTCGGAGGTTTCCCACCTCTAAGCTGCAGTCCTTGTAAACTCCTCTGGCGCCATCTGCTGACCATCCCAGAAACAACATTTTACTTTGGTTTGCAGCAGAGCTTTGAAGGGAATGAGTCAATGGGGTCCGTTCAGGATCAAGATTGCATTATATTTGCAGGCAAATGTTACCAAAATTCACTTTTGATTTTACCTTGCAGAAATGATCAGAACAGGGACATCTGAGCAAGTTCTTTCTGTATAACACCCTGAGATAGTCATTAAAATAACTGATCCTCATGCCACATAAGCCCAAGAAAGGTTCCAGCTCCCCTCCCCACTGTACCCGGCACCAAGCACTCCAGGGAACTCACTCTTGGTCCTCACCATCTGGGTACAGGGTTGGTTTCCATCTGGCTCTAGCTCTACCTCCTGGGTTCCCACAGATGGGTAATTTGTTGGCCTTTGGGCTCAATTCAAGGATTCCTACATGGCCCCAAGCAACCCAAAGTGCTGGAAGTCCTCCTTTGTCCCTCCGCCCATTCATTAGTCTTGTTTTCCCACCTACCCTTTGAAAATGAAGCTCCTTTTCCACACTTGAGAACCTTCTTTCTGAACTGACCATAGGCACTGCTTAGAAGAGACCCCTCTGCTGTCAGAGTCTGGTCTGGTCTTTAGGGGAAGGACAGTAGACATGCCCCCTATGCTGTAGATATTTATAGAAAGCTTTCGGGGTGTTCTACTACTAAGTTACATCCCCAGTCCTTTTTATTTTTTATTCTGAGACAGTTTCACTGAGTGGCCCAGACAGGGCTTGAACTTGCGACCCTCCTGCCTCAGCCTTCCTGGGATCCACCTAGTTGAAAAAGCAAATTCCAGCTCTAAAGGGATCTCTCAGGTCTTGCTGAGCACCAAGATCTTCCCGTGTTTCCTATCAGTCCAGGGTAATGAGAAGGTCCATCCTTCTCAGGATGAAGGAGTGGCCCAGCAGCCCCTGATTGGTCCTACCAGGGAGGGAAGGGCTGCCATATTTGGAGGGCAGCAGAGAGGCCACCCCCCTCCCCACAGCTTCTATATAGCTGGGCGGGCCTGGCTGCTGGCTGGTGAGCTGGAGGACTGCATAGCTCCAGCCTGTGGCTCCAGAAGCACACCCAGAGCAGACATCCAAGGTACGTGGGGAGGCATTTCTGGGATCAGGTTTGCTCATTCTAATCGGATCTCTAACCCAGACTAAAATCTTGTAGTGACCTCTTTACTCACTAATCCCAAGGTGGGTTCCCAGTCAGGGGACACCTGTTCATTCATCACTGGCCTTGCATTTCTGTGCTTCGATGTTATAATAAAATGCTATTTTAGGGTTGGCTGGTTGAGATTTTTTTTTTCTGACTTTAAACCCTTGCCTATAAAAACAAAGTTTTGTTGTTGTTGTTTGGAGAACTCTTATTATATTATTTTTCTTATTTAAGATTTTTCCTACCAAGAGGTAGAAGCTGATGATGATGTGAGTGTGGCCCCCTCCTATTTAGGAGCCTAATTAATGCTTCTTCACACTGGGGATCTCTTTGGAGAAAGCCAGCCTGAGTTCACTGCGGTTAGTGGCAGAAAGGAATGGGTGCTCATGCCTACCTGGGGCAGAGATGAGACTATGCCCATAAGCAAGGACGGGTAGTGAGGGCACTTTGCAGAGATGAATGACTGGGTGAGCTCACAGGCTGCATTTTTCCTTTTACTTTTACTTTTCTTTTCTTTTCTTTTCTTTTTTTTTTAACAAAACCAGTGTCACACCAGAGTTGAAGTTTTAACAGAGGAGAATGAATCCCTTTAGGGTGCTGCGGGAGTGGTAGAGGGTCTGATAGGCGCTGTGCAAGCTTCCTCTGCCCCCTCCAGCTCTGATTCTCTGTGGACTCACAGTAGTTAGAAGACAGCTCCGGCACGCCTCCTATAGGAACTCCTATAGGAACCCTCCCCTGTCCCTGGGTCACACGGCAAAGGTCCAGGTGCCAGAATGCCCAGCCAGCTGGACTTGGGAGGTGGCTTTTTACAATAACTTGTAGTTTCAGAAGCCACATGTGACAAGCTACCGGGATTAGATCTGGAGAAGGGGGAATATTCTGCTCAGCAGCCCCGTGGATGCCCTGGGGCCACCTTGACCTGGGATCCCTGTGCTGTTCCCCCAGGCCCTCCTAACCTCACCTTCAACTCATTTCCCCCCAAATTCCTCAAGAGCCAAGTTCTTCAGCTTGCATCCTGCCCAACAGCATAAAACGTGAGCAACACCTCCCTCTTGAAGGGCAGTGGGACACGGCTAGTGGCATGGGGAGTTAGCACCAGTTGGAGCTAAGTTCAAATCCGCCACCTCTTACTGTGCAGCTTTGGGCCAATTCCTTTACTTCTCTGAACCCCAGGACAATTTTTTTCTCTTGGTAGTGGGAATTGAACCCAAACACTCATGGATACTAGACATGTGCTCTCCTACTGAGCTACATCCTCAGCCCTTTAAAAATTTTTTTTTTCTTTTTTAATTTAGAGACAGCGTCTCACTAAGTTGCCCAGGTTTGATTTGAATTTGTGACCCTCCTGCTTTAGCTTCCCTAGTAGCTGAGATTATAGACATGCACCACTATAACCAGCTACTCGTACTTTTATAAAATAAGAATAATAATGTAGCCATCTCATGTAAGGATTACCTTAGGCAATATCACAGAAAGGCTTAACACAGTAGTGCAATAAAGCTAGAAGGATGATCAGGGGCACATTGTCCCCTGGGGTGAGATTGACAAAGATACGTCTAGTACATTTTCATCTCTTGACTTAGGGAGCGGCTGAGATGCCTTAACTATGTTTCTACCCTTCTCCTCCTCCTCCTCCTCCTCCTCCTCCTCCTCCTCCTCCTCCTCCTCCTCCTCCTCCCCCTCCTCCTCTCATTACATAAAGCCTTTTAATATCAGCAACCCGAGATGTTCTTAGAATGGAGGCAGAATGCGCCCGAGACAGTGCAGTTTAGAGCAATAGAGAATAAAGAAGGAAGATTAAAATTATAGTCTATGACCAGAAGTATTTGATTCCAACTATCTATCTATCTATTTATTTATTTATTAGTTGTAGGGCACAGTACCTTCATTTTATTTATTTATCTGTAGTGCTGAGGATGGAACCCAGGGCCTCACATGCTAGGTGAGCGCTCCACCACTGAGCCACAAACCCAGCCCTGATTCCAACTCTTTTTTACCTGCCAGGGACCTCTTGATGTAAAAGTCTGGGAGATAACCAAAGAAACCTTATATGCTTTGCACCATAGCTCATTTATTTTCCCATGCATATTCAAAGGCTTTATAATTGCCAGTTGCAGCTTCTTATCTGCCTGAGAAAGTCAAGATCAACTCTATCCCTGAGCCAATAGAATTCCCAGCAAAAGCAAAGAAACTTGATATCTGAGTGGACTCGGTGCAGCCCAAGCATGGGAATATCACTGTGCTTCTGGGGAAATGTAAATGGTCTAAGGATGCCATTCATTTGCTTAAAATCTGCTACTCCAGGCCTGGTGGCATATGCCTGTCATCCCAGCTACTCGGGAGGCGGAAGGAGGAGGGTCACAAGTTTGAGGCCAGCCTAGGCAACGTAGACCCTGTCTTAAATTAAAAGAAAAAAAAAGAAGAAAGAAAGAAAGAAAGAAAGGGCTGAGAGGGTATAACTTAGTGATAGAATCCCCTGGGTGTTATGCCAAAAAAAAAAGGTCTGCTGCACTTGGAAGAGTGGAGGGAAGGCTGGGAAGCCCAATGGGGAGAGTTAACTGCTCTGGCCATTTCTCCTGCAGATTCTGACACAATGAAGAAGCACCTGGGCACCTGGGGGTTGGCTATTGTCTGTGTCCTGCTCTTCAACCATCTCTCCGCCATCAAGGCGAGGGGCATCAAGCACAGAATCAAGTGGAACCGGAAGTCTGTGCCCAGCACCGTCCAGATCACAGAAGCCCAGGTAGCCCAGAACCCCCCAGGAGCCTTCATCAAGCAAGGCCGAAAGCTCCACATCGACTTCGGAGCTGAGGGCAACAAGTACTACGAGGCCAACTACTGGCAGTTCCCTGACGGGATCTACTACGACGGCTGCTCCGAAGCCAACGTGACCAAGGAGGTGTTCATCGCCAAGTGCATCAATGCTACCCAGGCAGCCAACCAGGCCGAGTTTTCCAGGGAGAAACAGGACAATAAGCTTCACCAGCGGGTCCTGTGGCGGCTGATCAAAGAGCTCTGCTCAGTCAAGCACTGCGACTTCTGGTTGGAAGGGGGAGCCGGATTCCATCTCTCCGTGGACCAGCCAGTGATGCTCTGCCTGCTGGTCTTCATTTGGCTCATTGTGAAATAATCCTGGAAGGAGACTGGTGGCCATAGAGGTGAGCAGACTATGGAGACAGGTACCCCAGTCCTCCCCCACCCCACACCCACATGTGTCTTGAAGGTACCAAAGAGAAGTGATTCATCAGCGCTTCAAATATCACTCCTAAGTGTTCACCTGTATTTGTATGGGATAAGCATGTGTCTGTGTGTCCATTTCCCGCATGCTCTGTGGCGGCTGGGGGGTATTTGGCTCATTATATATTCTCAGCTCCCAGTGGAGGGTCTGGTATACCACCTTAGGCAACTGGTGAATCAATCTAAGAATTCATCAGGAACTGTGCTCAGTACTTCACCATACCTCCCACAACTCTTTTAAAGAGTTAGATGTTGTTCCTCTTTTACAGATGAGGAGACCAAAGCTCAGAGAAGTGAAGCTCACCCAGAGTCACACAGCTGGAAAGTGGCAGAGTCAGGAATCAACCACAGCCTGTCTAATCTCAGGTTTTCTGTGCTGTCCAATCCCACAGCTGTCTCACGATCGCTTTGTGGTTTGCAAAGCCTAAATCCAACCTTGTTTCTCGAATGAAACTGTGAAAGCTCCACTTTTAGAAATAAATGGGAAAACCTGAGCCTGCCACTGTGAACTTTGATACATGGAAGTTTAGTTGAATCCTCCTACGGAAACTAAAATATAATAAAGGAATTAAACTAAAATAGAAATAAAAGTAAACAAAGGCCTACAAATCAGAAAATATTTCCTACCCAATTCCCAGAACAGACCAGTTTTATAGGAGGGCATGTATAACAGTTGTAAAGTGTCTATGGCACTAAGATCCTTTTTCACAAAAAGGGTAAGTGATTGCTGTTCCCATCCCTACAATAGTCCTGTGCATTTACAAAAGAAAATGTTTAAATGACACACTTGCTTCTGATGTTTCCCCTAGTCTTAGGTGCATGTTCTTATGTAAATTCATATGAACATCTTTAAATACATTCCCTTTATTGGAGAGTGAAATTGACCAAAGTATGCTGTAACAAATGTGCCACAATGAGACCCACCATTCTGTATAATTAATATGCACCAATAAAAATTTTAGTAAAAAAAATACCTATAGTCAGGTTCCCTGATACACACCTATAATCCCAGCAATACTGAAAGCTGAGTCAATAAGATCACAAGTTCAAGGCTAGCCTGGGCAATTTAGGGAGACCCTGGCTCAAAATAAAAAATAAAAAGGGCTGGGGATGTGGCTCAGTGGTAGAGCACCTCTGGGTTCAATATCCAGTAACTCCCCCCCCAACAAAAAAAAAAAAACCTTTCATATATGTAAATATGTCTACACACACATACACACACACACACCCTTATATAATGCTTTCTACAATCTCTATTATTCTTTTTAACACTTTAGAAGGGCCATAATCTCTGTAAATTAATAATCACTATAAAATATCATTATTTGCCAAAAAAAAAGGCTTTTTTAAAAACTATTTCTTTAGGGAGCCCCAATGAAGAACTCATATCCACCCTAAGCAAGAGTTGATGCACCTCCTTACCAGTTTAAAAAAATATGAATATCTTTTAAATAAAAAGTAATGAATCTAATGTTCCAAGATGCTCCCACAGGCCCTCTGGGGACTCTCAGAGAATTCCAGGAGTTGTTGAGCCATAACTGGAGATAACAGCTACTGAATATTATCAGTTCTCTTTTAAAGAACATCTGTCAGGGGAGGAACGTGCATCACCAGACAATTTATCTTGGGTTTTTCAGCACATGAGTGTTGAGAACGGTACTTCTTGTGCTGAGTCCCCACTGTTATCCGTTCTTCTCAAGGATACATTTGGGAGGTTTTTACATGAAATGTGGGAGACAGACTTGCAGGGCAGGGAAGACCAGAGAAGCAAAGCAGCGTCCTACCCGCTATTTCAATCGGGACAGCCCTCTACTCAAATAATGCAGAGGAGCCAACCTGGGGTACGGTTGCTGCTGCTTCTGGCCCCACTCACTTACACCCATGGCCCTAATAATTCTAGATCCAGAGAGCAAGTAAAAAGCACAGAACACACAGAGGTTATTTCTTGCATTCCAATTTTTTTAATACTAAAAATGGCAATAAAGAAAGTAAAAGTAGAGGGATGTTGTTGACCTTTGAACTCCCGGGTCCGACTTTAATTACAAGGGCTCACACAGCCACTTTAGCAAATGACTCCATTTCTGATGGGAAAACGCTTGGGCTGTGAGGGAGTCTGTTCCCTGTGATCGTTGTCTTTTCTCATTTCATTAATGATCCCACAAATCAGATATAAGCGGTGCATAAAGTGCCTTGGTACACGGTGATTTGAATGTGAAATTTGCTCATGGAGGTTTTTAATGGGAACCATATGTACTTGAACGTCTTTGGACTTCCTGAGCCTGGCTTTTCAATTTGGCCGAGGGTTATCAGGAGCCTCCGTGTGCATAAGACATTGTAGGCTTCTCAGTTATCCTCAGTTATTTTCCAACATGAATAATGTCACCAGCTATTGTTTTCTGGGTTCTTCCAGGTGTTGACTTTTTTAAAATATAAGCTTATCATAAAAGTGGCATTCAAATTACAACAGAAATCTAAAACAACAACAAAAAATGACTACAACTCCAACATCTAATTAAGCCAGTGTTTTTTATGTCCCTTGTAATCTCCTACTCCAACCATTTGCATATAGAAATGTGCACATTTGTGATACTGATATCCAGATGAACTTCCACCTTCTAAATTTTTACTTAACTTCACTCAATGCTTCGTTTTTTTCAATATTCCTATGATTTTTGTTTTCTCATTTCACCATCCCCAACCCCTCCTTATACCCTGGGGTGTAGCCTCCACCCTTTTTCTGTGCTCAGATATATAAGCAAGGATTTGTTTTTTGTCTCATGCCTTTTAAAAATACTATAACTGTACATATAGTTTTCATTTGTCTGCAATTTCCCTTCCTATCTTAACATGGCATCCTGATACTCTCTGGGTCAACAACTAACCGTTAGCAGGTTTAACCTGTCCTTTTAGATTGCTGTATAATCTTCCACACAACCGTGTACTGTGGCTGATTAAGTCATTTCCTTGTTGGTGAAGCTTCAGATTGTTTCCTGGTTTTCTGCCACTGCAAACAATAAATGTCCTAATAAATACAACCTGGCCGTCTGGTGCTTTTATTTCTGCAGGATTGATTTACAGAATTTCTTGAACAAAGCCTGTGTGTAATTTGGACTTTACCAGACATGACCGCAATGTTTCCATATATTTGGAGAACTCTCATTACCACCAGCAGCATATGGCATTAACTTGGAAGGGTTTCTACGTCATTTAAGTATAAGAAGCCACCTTTTCCATAGATACTGCTTGTGAATCTTGTTTTTAAAGGACACACCTAAAGCTTCCTAAGTTACTCTGATCTTAGTGGTCATTGGAAATATCCTAAAACCGTTAACGTTCCTCATTCTAAAAGTGGTTCTGGGTGCAAACCATATGAAGAGAAACCTGCACATCAGACAGCATGTTGGCTTTCTGCTTAAAGGAGGGTGGGTCTGTACATCTCCATATTTCCCAAAAACCAAGGGGCCTAGGGGAAGGTTGGTCCCTGGCCTTTTGACAAATTTATAGTAAAATTGCACATGCAAGTGTCTGCAGATCAGTGAGAATGACTTCTAGATCAAAGGCTCAAAGAAATGGGCATCGAGCCCATTTTCAAAATAGCCCACATTCTCTTTGGAGGTTGGGTAGATGATCAGATCTCCCCATCCCCCCTCATGCCCCATTTGGTCTAGGCTGTGCCTGACGACATTGAGAAACTCCACCCTCTGGGCCTACATGGTGTGTCCTGGGTAGTGGCCATACGTTTGTCTTGAGCTGCCCACACACCGGCCTTGAGCTGTCTAATAGCCAGGAACTGGCTTAGGGAAGTGGCCCATTGAGCCAGGACCCCAGGCCCTACTTCCTACCTGTGATGTGGTTACATCTCACTCTCTGCCCCCCACAATGTTTCTCCTCACTCCTTCTTCACGACTGGACAGGGACGCCCATGTGTTCCTGCATGGTACATTTTGGAGTCCTCCTGGGTCTCTACTGAAACAATGACAGTGGGACCCACATGGTTGCAGACAGGCAGCATGGTGGCAGGCCACACCCTCCAGGAGAGTGATCGTGTAGATTTGCACTGAGGTGGCATCACGATGAGTTGCAGTGTCCCCTCCTGGATGCTCCAACACCACTGCATTGAAGAGCAGCCCTGGAGCCAGGTCAGACTCCGACCAGAGGTTTGCCCTCCTACCTCAAGGCCATGAGTCACAGGGCTCATCCTCCCATCTTCACTGCTGGCAGGAAACCCATTTCAGCTGGGCACCCAGATTCCCTGGTGGAAGGCAAAGGAGCCAAGTGCCATGCTTCTGGGAATGTATGACTGTGGGAAATGAGAGCTAATCAGCTGCTCCCTGCACAATGGGAATAAACGTGTCTTTGAGACACCTCTATTTCAGGGCCATGCAAGATAACAAGACTCAGCTGTTTCCCATGGTGAAGGGGAGTCTTTGCCTGGGCTAGGGAGACTAGGGGGTCTCACCAGGGAGGACTGAGATCCTGCCCACTAGATACTAAAGCCCTGAGATCTCCTTCTCACAATGAGCCCCAGAACACAGGTAGAGGAGGGAAGGGTGATTTGCTGCATTGTGTGAGAAGTCTCCCGCTGAAATAAACCCCACAGGCTGACCCTCTGTCTAAAGGGACTTTCCTGGTCAGCACAAAGCTAACCCCCACCCCCTGCAACTGCTCATCCTCTGATTCTTAAGTCATTGCCTCTCCCAGGTTTCCTTTCCTGCACCCTCGTCTGAATTTCAGAACCTCCATCCACCCTCCCACCCCGGCCCATCCTTGGGATTTCCACATCTAATTTTAATGCTAACCCTTCTGTGGAAAAGCATTGCCCTCCTTAAACAATGCAGATTGTTTTAACTCCAGCAGGCTTGACCGTGAACTGTGGAAGGAAATTGGCAGGGG